CCAACAACAATATCCGATGGACTCTGAGGTGGTTCTGTTTTTAAAAACAACAGTAAGGATTGTTTAGTTTGTTATTTTCTTGTACTGTTATTATTTTTATATGAATACTTAACACAACTATGTTAACTATATGATAATGGTGGTGTAAGGTTATATTCAGTGCTAGTTTATAACGTCTCCAATTCAGATCACAGTTACTACTGATTAACATATATCTTTATATTAAAACTCTGGGTGGTGTTAACAGACACACGTGCGTTCTAACCCGATATTAAATGATGTCCGTTGATGTTATATTTGATACATACCAGTGAGGGTTAGATACCTACTAGTGAGGGATATGTACATACCAGTAAGGGTTAGATATCTACTAATGAGGGCTACATACATACCAGTAAGGGTTAGATACCTAGTAATGAGGTCTATATACATACCAGTAAGGGTTAGATACCTTGTAATGAGGTCTATATACATAATAGTTAGGGTTAGATCCCTACCAATGAGGGCTTTATACATACCAATAAGGGTTAGATACCTACTAATGTAGTATATATACATACCAGTAAGGGTTAGATACCTACCAATGAGGGCTATATACATACCAGTAAGGGTTAGATACCTACTAATGAGGGCTATGTACATACCAGTAAGGGTTAGATACCTACTAATGAGGTTTATATACATACCAGTAAGGGTTACATACAATACATGTGTGTGTTTATATATATATGTCAGTAATAGATGACATACACAATTCAAGTATTATTTTCTACACGTTGTCTAGAATATTGCGGGTTGAATACTGAAACACAACCATAAGATTTATGTTTTAAAAATACAATTTCTACATTTTTGGATGTTTTATATTTTGATACCTAAATAACAGACGTACAAACGCTATACAACATAAGGTTTACCATTAACAATCATCTTGATATTCCAGCTGTCATTTCCGAATGAGTTCTCTACAGAACACGTATAGAGGGCAGCATCTTGAGTTTGAATATTTCTAATGACGAGAGTAGAGTTAGTCCCAACTGTAGTTTCTTTACTGTAAGTTTCGTGGCTGTAGTGATACAGAAAACTCAAGTTTAAAAATAAAACTTCGTATCAGATTAGAACCGACATATTACTAAATTATTTTGATATTTACGTCAATCAAGAAAAGTTAAATAACCTTACCGGTTCGACCAAGGTTCCAACACATGATTGTTTTTTA